CCCCTCCTCTTCCCTTTCCTCTCTCCCTCCCTCCCTCCCCCTCTCTCCCTTTCCCTCCCCTCCCAAACCTTCCCTCTCTCCCCCCTCCATCTCCCCCCTCTCCCTTTCCCTCCCCCCTTGCGTCCCCCTCTCCCTTTTGTTTTTGAGAGCTGACTTATAGCCGCACAGCTGTGATGTTATTCATTCCCAGGAGGGTGCATATGAACATACATTCCATCCCCAGGATTAGGCTCTGCCTGACGGAGCTCTTGTAAGGATCACAGCACCGAGTGGAGAGGATTCAGCTGGCTTCGCAGGCCTATGGATGACCTGCCATGGGACCATGCGGGAAGACCCAGTGATGAGCCATCTTGCCTACACACTGGCACTGAGACAGTGATAGGAAAGAACTGGAAAGGGACACTCAGGGCCTGCAATGGCCTGGCAGTGGGATGCTCTGGCCTTGGGCTGAGTGTGAGCGGCCTCTTGGCAGGACCCAGCCGGTTCTTGAAGACAGCCACAAAGAGGACTTGGGCTCACCTCTGTCCTCTTGTTGCACACTCCTGTGTTTGGAGGATGGCAGAAACTGCCCTTTAAGATTAAACCGTGATGTTCCAGAGCCTCAACATCTCAACAGCAGCCCCTCATCGATCCCTCTCTAAGTTAACCCTGACTGCCAGGGCCTAGGTGCCCAGGGTACCAGCCCTGATCTTCAAGTGAGCAGGGTTTGTGCTGGGACCTCAGTGGATGCAAAGAGGTCTCTTCCTGGGCTCTGCTTCGCATCTGGCAGGAGGTAAGGACCCTCCTCCGCCATACACTCCCACCACCCCAGTGTGCTACCCAAGGGCATGGGGGAAGCTGAGACTTGACCCTCTGAACTACAAGCCAGAATAAATCTTCATTCCTTTGAGCTTCTCAACAGGAATTTTCACAGTGATAGAAGTCGTCACTGGTACACTTCTATATGCCCAGGACAAAGCTGATGTCCTCGTCACCACAGAGACCTCAAAGTCTTCTAACTGCCGGATAGTCTGTGCTTCCTGCAGGGACTGTTTACACTGAAACCATGGAAACACAGGCACTATCAGCACCACCTGCACTTGCTTAGAGTGACCCGGGACACCATGCACGGGCCCTGAGGTGGCACAGGGGCCTTTCTGGGTGTTCTACAGAGTCAGGGCCTGGCGTGGCTCCCGTGGATTAGAGAGGAGTGTGCAGAGCCTGGCTGGCTGTGTTCCTCCCCTGAGCTCATTTCTCAGTAGTATTGAAGCAGGCAGGGGAACAGGTGGCTCTTACCTTGACCGCTGGGTGAATACTTCCTCCTCTGGAGACAGGGCACGGCTGTCACCTAGGAGGAAGAGAACATCCCTGGGTGTTCCAAAGTGTAATTTGAACTACTTTGAGACTTTTTTTATTCTGATTTTAACTACCAAGGTCACCTGTTTTCCATTCTCTGCCAAATATTTGAACCCTAATACAGGAATGCACACTATCTGTAAATTATGTGCCAGTGCCTATGTGGAGGAGATGCCAGGGAACTGCCTGCTTTGGCTGGTGGGTTGGAAAGAGTACAGGGACCTGGGTTCGAATCTCAGTGCTGTTGCTTACTAGTGCATGCTAGAACTCGTCCTCAGTGAATGCCACTCTCTTCCTCTGTAACACACGGCTCACAGCTGTAAATTGTCTCCCTATGGCTCCTCTCCACACGGCCACCTCTCTACAACATGCTAAGAAATCCAGTCTCTGTCTGACCTTGTCAGGGGTGGAGAGAGCAATCGGCCCAATTGCCACCGAAACATTCCCTGGTGTCAGGGCTACTCCGGTGTGTCTAGCAGCAGGTCCTGCAGGTAGAACTTGGAGCCTGTAGGCTGGCCTTCTTGGGACTCACAGGAATCCCATGGATGTCAGGACCCAGGGTTCAGTCAGGATCCTGCTGTCATTCCCACAGTTTGACCTTGGCCATACACCCACCTCCCTGCGTGGGGTTCATGTGCCAACATCACAAGGTGTCATTGCCCACCCAACCAGGTTCTGTAATGCTGGTAAAGGGTGACAGAAACCAACAGCTTAGAACTGATAAGCTGACAAGTGGCTGGACTTGCCGTCTGGCACTCAGTGGGTACCTGTGCCAGGGTGGGCAGGGCCTGGAGCAGGCCTGGAGACAGCACCCCAGTCCTGTTCCTGATATCCCCTAGACACAGGGAACTTTCTCCTCCCGGGCCTCTCCTCTACTCACACCTCACAGAGTGTCTTCCTGTGCTGTTTGAGTCCTGGGGCCATTTTCCCATACAGTGGCTCCTGTGGGTTTTCACAACCAGCAATGTGACTCTCCGACAGAGGACAGGTGACAGGCTGCTATGCCTGAGCTGGGTGGCAGAAACATCTGGACACACATGTGGCTCCGGCAAGACCCTTAGCCAAGGCTGATATGTACGGAGAGATAAAAGCCCCAGCTACTTTGACCCTGAGTAGGATAAGTGGGGTGTGACATCCCTGTTCCCAGAGCTGCTTAAAGAACTGAGCCAGGGAGCCTGGGTGTGCCTGACAGAAGTTCCTCCCACCCCCGCCCCCACTTCTGCATCTTGTGGGCTCTCTGGGATTTCCCCGTCTGTGGACCCTTAAGGCATTGCTGAGCTGCTGGGTCCCTCTCCACACCCTGCCTCAGCACTTGCTCTTCTGGGGGAGTTGCCTTGGAAGGCGGTGGTGGAGTGTACCTTGGGCACGTTGGCTTGGTCCTCAGGGTCTGCAGATGGATCCTTTGGGATCCTGTCAAGTCTCTCAGTCACCCGGGGAAGAAAGATCTGGAGACCAAGGAAGAAATATGTTTCCTTGCTGAACCATGAATCGGAGAGTGGAATATTTGTTTAACCAGACAAAGCCGTGTTACATTTGTTCATGCTGCATTTGTTAACGACGTAAAGACGTGTTGCATTTGCGTTAACTAAATAGAATTAACCTGGGCTCAGAGAGGCGGGGTTAGCAACTGGCTGACAGGAAGTAGCAGGGAGGAGCTTAGGGAGGGTTGTTTTAGTTGGGGCGGTGTGGAAGGCAGTGGCTTCTGGGACGCCAACGAAGAAAGTTCGTCAGCTGCTACTTGGACTCTCTAAGCTCACAGGTTTTCACCCTAGCCTCTGACTCTCGAGTTTTGTTAGAGCTATAGAGATTTAGTTAGAACTACCTTTAGAGGCAGCAAAGGGCCATTGTCTGGGGGAACAAATTTCCCCCCAGGCTACGGCCTTAGCAGCCTGGGCAGCTAGTAGTTTGAAGTGGAGCCATTGTAACGATGGGAAAACCAGAAGACATGGCCGTGGACTCGGCAAATTAAAACACACTTTCTGTTTTAGATAGCACCAAGCAGTTTCTGCCGTAGTATGGACTTGAGGTCACACAGGGGATACTCACATGTGAAGGTCACTTTTTTTATATTTTATTCTATTATTTTAATCTGAAACACCACATTGACTGGGCAGTAAGGATTTAATCACTGACCCTACCTAAGGGTGCTGCGGTCATTCTTCTACCCCAACCCCCCCCCCCCACCATTGCTCTATCCGGAGCCTCTGAGTGGACTTGGGGAAGGATGCCAGGCTCCGGTCACCACCATAAGGACAGGTCCAGCGAGTGGCACCAGCCTTCCCTTCTGTTACTCTAGCCACACCCATCTCAAAATGGCAGTGTAATCAAGTTCTCCATCACCAGATGAGGTTTGACCAGGTAGTGGCTGGGTTCCACATGGGTAGCTGTGTGTATGAATGCATGGGCAGACACTGTATGTGTAGGCCAGAGGACAACCTCGGGGGTCACTCCTTAGATGTTAGCCATCACTTTTTTTTTTTTGAGATAGGGTCTCTTTACCACCCTGCCGCTCACCAAGTAGACTTGGGTGGCTGGCCAGTGAGCCCCAAATCTCTTCCTATTGCTGCTTCCCCAGCCCTGGGCTTATAAGCGTACACCAGCACCACCATGCCTGACATACTTTTCCTTCTTCTGTTTACAAGTTCTGGGGATTGAACTCAGGCTATCATGCTTGTGTGCCAGGCACTTTATAGATCTCTGGTCTTCCCAGCCCATAAGGAGTTTTTTCAGGTCAAAGTGAAAAATGATTAAAAAGCTCCTGTATGGCTCCAGCTCACCCACTGGCTGTGGGAAACATGATTGGCAGCCTCAAGAAAATCAGGGCTTTTACTCCATGGGTTACGGGGAGGTCCTAGGGGGGCACTGTGGGCTACTGAGGAAGTCTCAGGGGACACAGGCTTGGTGTTCCACACCTTCACTCAACTCACCGGGATGTTTGACTTCCTCCGGGGTTTTCCTGAGGGTTTCACAGTGAGCCCCGCTGCCCTCAGGGCTGCAATCCTGGACTCGATGTCTGAGACCTAGAAAAGAGAGGGACAGATGACAGAAGACAGACAGACAGATGCCACTCAACATCCCATCTCAGATCATAAAGATCAGAATCCCAACCGTAGCCTGGTCCTGGGGTCTCTCTCTCTTCTTCCCTGGTTGTGAGGGTCTTGAAGGATGTCTCGGGGTGCTGTGCACATCTGGAGGCACATCTGGAAGGCTGGCTTCCACTAGCAGGATGATGTGTGTGTGCGGGGGCGGGGTCATCTTGCACTAATCCTGACCTGGCCACCTCTGCCACCACCAGAACCGCCCTTGTCCTGTTCTCTTCTCTGGTCACTCTTCCCACAGGAGCCAGAGGAAGCATCTAGACGCAGAAACCAAGTTAGTTGCTTCCTCCTGCATTTCTTTGTGTCATGGCATTAGGAACTGAACTCTGGGCCTTGCACATGCTAACCATGGGCTGTATCACCGATTCACACCACCAGTCATTTCCCTCATTATCTCCGTGGTCCCCAGGGTTCTCCATCCGCCATCCTCTGGAACTTTCCGCTCCACTTCCCCATCACCATGCTTGGGTCTTGGGGTCTCCCAGCCAGTCCATGAGCTTACTAAGCTCGACACCACCCCAGAGCCTTTGCACACTCTGTTCTCTCTGCCTGGACTTCCATCCCCTCGGGCAAGTGGTTCTCAACCTTCCTCATGCTGCGGCCCTTTAATACCGTTCCTCATGCTGTGGGGACCCCCAACCAGAGAATTATTTCGTTGTTACTTCGTAACTGTAATTTTGCTACTGTTAGGAATTGTAATGTGAACGTCTGATATGCAGGATGTCTGATATGTGACCCCAGGGGGGTCGTGACCCATGGGTTGAGAAGCACTGCCCGAGAGCTCCTGTGCTGGATCTCTTCAGTGTTTCTCCCACCACGCTCTCTAAGCCCCCCTCCCTGTGCACTCTGTGCGATAAACCTCCACACTGTCCCCACAGCTGTTTCATGGTGTAATGATTTGATCTGCTTTCCCTTTTTGTTAGGTATCTCCTGTCACAACGAATCTAAGCTCCACAGAGGCACGGACTGGGGCTCAGGTCCTCACAGCTGCCCCCTATGTGGCCTGCCCACGTCAGCCACATTTTAGAAGGGACCCCTTGAAGAAGAGGCCTGGGCCTGCCTTACCCCTTGGATGTGAGTGGCACTGGCTCACACCCCCCTTCCTTGGGCACTGGCAACCACTGGCTGGTGAGGGTAGGGGCACTGGTTGTCCCCATAGCCTGGATGCAGACCTCTTTTCTTTACCGGACTCCAGGGGGAGGACACTGCAGTCCCCGGCTGTCCCCGGCCCTGTCCACACAGGCTTGGCCTGGACCTGTGCACTGCTGAGGTATCTTCCTCCCCCAGGCCCCTGCTCTGCAGTCAGGCTCAGGAGAACCCTCTGTCAAGTCCAGTTGTGAGCCCTGCTGTCCTAACTTCTCAGGCTGTGTCTAGGCTCTGCTCATAGGATGGGAGGTAGTAACAATATGAATCTTTTTCATGGCTGAAAAGCTGGCCTGCACTCCCCAGGTTGAGCAGGGAGCAGAGAGGTGGGAAAAAACCCCAAGCTTGCACTCCGCCCCGCTCCTGGCTGCCAGGGAGGCCTCTGTGAGCCCGTAGGTGGGCTGTTGGATTCTCAGACCTCTGACTGGGTCCCATCGCCAGGACAATGTCACCTCTGGGGACATTCCATCCAGGGGAGGTGAGGCTACCTCGCTCTCAGACTGCTGAACTTCAGAGGCTGTCAGGGCCACTCTGTCCTCCATCTCCGACAGTTCCTCATCTGTGCTCTTTGTAGTCCGAGTAGGGTTCTTGGGGCCCTGAGGGCTCTTTCCCTGTGTCTCCAGGGGTCCCGTGTCTGCACACACCTAGGGACAAGAAGGGTAACACTGGTCATCCACGAAGCACAGCATAGGCTGCTGCTGCCTCTCCGCTGAGTTCCCACGGTTGGCCTCCAACCTCTTCCCCTGTGTGGTCTTGGCAAGCCCCGCCCCCCAAAGCCTGTAGCTAGTTAGCTGCCCTCCCTGAAAGGGTGGATGGCTACCCGGGACTGTCCCTCTTGCCCTGCCCTTTGTCTGGGACCGTAAGCAAGACCTCACCTCTGGGGATACCGCATGGAGGGTGCCACCTGGCTTGACCTCGTCTTCTGATGAGGTGCCGGGATCACTGATGTTGCTGGTCAGTTCCTCCAGCCTCTTCCTGAGAGCCTCCTCCTCTGTGTCTGCACTGGAGTGTGATTCCACAGCTGGTTCCTGACAGGACAGGACAAGAGGCTCAGAGGCGGCTTTGGGAGGTCAGCCAGCCTGAGAGGACTCCAGCACTCATTCCCATTTAAGACCCCTCCTTTGCCCTGCTTACTCATGCCCTAAAAAGTTCACCTAGGTAATATAGGCATATGAAATGTACCACCTCCACCATTTTAGGGTACACAGCTGCTCAGATTCTCACCCTGCACCCAGTACCACCCTCTCCCCACAGAACTTGCCCCTCTTGCTATAGTGAGACTCGGTCCCCACTGAACCTCGCCATCCTTCTCCCAGTCCTAGGCATCCATCACGCTCCTGTCTGTCTCCCTGAATCTGACCTTGCTGGGCTCCTCGTACGAGCACATGGTCTGCCTTCAGGGCAGCTCATCTCACTTAGCCTACGTTCTCCTGGTCGGCCCATGTTGTAGTACGAGGCTGAACATCTTTCTCTCTTAAGGATGACCCACCAGACTACAGGGTTTGAACAAGACATTGAGCTTTCTTTGCGGGGAGTGCTCATATGTGGAGGGCACCTCCTCCCTGCTCCTTACCCCCTCTGAGCTCACAGCCCTTCCATTTTTTTCCCCAGCTCTGGTCCTATGTCCAGTACCTAAACTACTGGTCCTATGTCCAGTACCTAAACTGCAGCCATTTATCTGGCAGGGGCTCATGCGGCTGAGGACAAAGGTCCTGGTTCTCTGCCCTCTCCCTTTGTGAGGCTAAGGTGTGCCACAACAGTATTATCTCAGCACTACCTAGATGTTCTGTGTTCCTATAGGACTTTAGGGTCTGTCCTGGATTCCCATAGCAACAAGGACCCTCATAATTTCCAGTAACTGTGAATCCAGGGACAAGGTGGAGGGGTCACACCATATCTTCACGTCACTTCTGCAACAGGGACTAACCCCCTCAGGCCAACAGCAAGTTGCAGGATGCTGACAGAAGAGGAGGTGGCAGTGTGTGGTGACTCCGTGGTGTCACCCTTCATAGGCGAGTCTTCTTGAGTTCAGATCAAGGGAGGCAGGCTGCGTGGGGCTTGTCTCTTTGTCTTAGATGAGACTTTAAGGACTTAGAATATCTGTTTGCTCCAGCTGGTAAAAAAAGTCCACGAAGGCCACATGTGTGTCTCAGGCTGGCTTCGGACACCAGACAGTGGCTATGTATTTGCTGCCCAAGGCTACTCTCCAACGTGATGAACTTCAGCCACAGGTCTTGTAAGTGGCATCATGACTTCAAGTGGAGTTGGACCATGAAGGGACTGGAAAGTAACTATCTAGAATAACGTAACCATGACCAGCTGGCTGCTGCGCACTTATCCTGCACTTGACTTAGGGATGGGGAAGAGGTGTGAGAGTCACGAGTTTCTTCTGTGAGGTAGTGCAGGCTGGGGATGCTGGTCCAGTTTCAGCACCCATGGTGTCTACAGCTGGGTGAAGATTCATCTCACCGCAGTTTCGGTGATACCTACCCATGCTATAGCACCTTGTTATTGGCCACAGATGGCTTCACGTGGGTGTGCTATGTAGAAAACCTCATCTATCCATCCTTGGAGCACCGTGCATCAATCAGCTGCAAGATCTCTGAGACACTTGCCCTGAAGTTATAGCCGTGACTTTAACCTCCTTTAATAGGAGGCTGTGGGATGACCTTGCATAGCCCAGGGAGTTACCTGGGCCGAGGGCGGCAGGACTACATTCTCCAGGTGGACCAGCAGATGCTCCACAGCTGACATGCGCTTGTTCAGCTCCAAGATCTGCAGCAGAGGAAGAGGAGCAGTGGTCTGGTTATAGAAGAGGGTCTCACTGCATCTCCTACCAGCGTAGGCGTCTTCCTCCTCTGAAGCCTCGAGTCCAGCTCTGACATGGCCCTGGAGGTTAACTAGGAAACAACTCCTTTCTGATACCAAGGGCGCTGGGACCAACAGAGGAGGTAAGTGGGGTGGATGACCGTGTAGGAGAGATGAGAAACCAACCAGACACCAAGGCAGCTGAAAGCAGTGACTGTGTCTGTCAGTGGGCAGCCCCTGTCACTGGCCTGGCTGATCAGCACAGGAAGGTGTGCATTAAGCTGGACACGGTGACCCAAATCATTAGGAAGCAGGAGCCCTGGGTCAATTGTGACCTAAAGCACAGCTTCCTAATTCTTTGAGTCACCGGACTCTTGAGTCAGCTGGTCTATTAGCTCCCAGACAGAGCCCAGAAAATCAATTCCTCTTTGCTTTGCTTCCTTGCAGGCGGCCCTCTCCGTCCTGAATTATCTCATTTACCGCTCGCCCGGCCTTATGAGAGGGAAGTGACGTGTATAGGGTGGGAAGCTGCCATTGTTGGTGGGTAATTACCACAGCACTGAGGACTTGGAGTGGAGGAAGGCCGCTCACTGGAAATGTCAACCCAAGTGTCTGTGAGTCCTCTGCCCAGGCTTGCCCTCTGCGGGCAGCCATTGACTGAGGGTTCATATGGCCCGGCCCATTTGGGGTTTGCTATGGTGGCAATGATCAGTGTCCTCAGCAGACTGCTCAGCACATGGCCTTTGTCTGCTGGCCCAGGAGGCACAGGTGGGGACTTGGAGAGAGGAAAAGGCACTCAGCGCCACCATGTCATTGTGAATGCCACATGGAGTGAATAAGCTAAGCTAAGGGGGCCTGGGAAGCTGGGGCTGAAGAGGCAGGCAGAGTCTGAGAGGGGCTGTCAAAACAACAGATTGGGCAGTTCACTCAGAGGGCGCAGCAGGGCTTTCTGATGAGGCCCTGGCTGTAGCTAGGCCCTGTGAGAAGTGGGGGTCACCAAGCCAGTGAGACACACAGGGAACACAGCCAGTTCCAGTTTCTGCCTGGTGGCTGGAGCCTCTGGCACTTTGAAGACAAGGGCACAGCACAAAGGGTCTCACGAGGGACCACAGTTCCAAGGAGCGCTGGAGTCTCCCATTTTGCCAAGGTGGAGGTAAACCTGGGAGGGAGACAAGCAGCCTCATTTTCCCTGTGGAAAACAAAGACCTGGGTGTTCCAGGGACACTCTAACCCAGCACTTGAGAGGCGGAGGCAGGAGGATGGCAAACTTGAGACCAGCCTGAGCTACAAAGAGAGAACCTGCCTCACAAATCCAAGGGCTGGGGCTGTGTGTGACTCAGTGTTAGAGAACTCACCTAGAGAGCTTGAGGCCCTGGGCTCCATCTCCAGCCTGGGGAGGGGATTCCTCCCAGGCTCTCATTTCAGACTTCCCTCCTCTGTCCATTCCATATGGATGTAAACCTTCATAGCAGATTAATAAGCCCTGTTTCGGCTCAGAACTCTGGACCACAGCCTTTTTGAAATGCAAATGTCACCATCCCCTGCAGGAAGGAGCAGGCTGAGTGCCGCCTAAACCTTGCTTGAACAAGAAAAATCTACCTCTTGTCTTAAAGACAGGGGTGGAGGGTGTGGGTGTGGGGTGGGGTGTGGGAGTGTGTGGGTGTGGGTGTGGGGGGTGGGGGGGGTGGGCACAGGTTCTTCTCTGGCTAAATCAACACAGGCTGTCTCTTGGGGGGCTCTGCTTTCAGTCTTGGTGACCAGCTAATCAAAATTAATTATAGTTCCGTGTGTTATCACAGAAGAACCAGGTGGTAACTACATTTTTAATTTCTCCTTGCTGACAGATTCTGGATATGTAGCCTAAGCTGGCTTTGAACTTGAGATTCTTCTTCTGTCTCTCAAGTCATATGATTAGCCACTGCACATGACTTTTTCCTTTTTCTTTCTTTCTTTCTTTCTCTTTCTTTCTTTCTCTTTCTTCCTTTCTTTCTTTCTTTCTTTCTTTCTTTCTTTCTTTCTTTCTTTCTTTCTTTCTTTCTTTCTTTCTTTCTTTCTTTCTTTCTTCTTTCTTTCTT